AATGATCTTACTCTTGTGCGGAATATTAGTGACATGGCTGCTCGGTATCGACGACAAGCCGTTATGAGTACCAAGCTCATCATTTGACTGCAGCTAGAGAAAGAGCTGAAAAACAGCATAAAAACCGTTTATTGTTAAACAATGCAAAAAAATAGTATGATCAATCAAATAAGTAACTAACACCGACGTTTCGGTCCGCATCTCACAAGCCTTCTTCAAAGTAGGAGGTTGGTAGAGTTTCGGAGGGCTTTCCTGTTGTTGGTAGGTTGGAACAAAAAACTCGTGCTGTTGATTAAACAGTTTCTGGGTGAAGGCACTGGTCACTTATCCAAAGAACCGTATCGATTTTGCATTGTGCGTTAACAAACCGTGATTTATGCCGTTTTTCAGTATGAACACTAATGCAAGAGCGAAATCCTTTATCGTCGGATACAGGTAGAGTTGCAGCATAACTAGCCTATCGTAAATAATGTCCGATGTATTCACGCTCAGCATGTTTGCAAATACATGTCACAAATACCTATATGGAGAAACTGCTTTGGAATCTTACAGTTCCATCTGATTACCGTTAAATCTTATCAGAAGTGAGCTACGAGGCTAACGGTAGATCGATTAAGCATAATTCAAGTTAAGGTAGCCTTTCTTACCTTAATATCAATTTGATATTTCTGATATGTCATAAGCATTGTGGTGCACACCCTGGTGTTCGACTCGCATCTACTCTATTTCTGCCTGGATGAGGGGAATGAGTGACATAGGTGTAGGGGGGACATCGTTTTGACGATCTTGGCACCGTTTTTAAGCAGTCGATAATATAAACTAGCACCATATTTACTGGCCATCTTTTTACTCAGCACTTCTACACCATGGCATACCTTACAGGTAGTAAAATACTCGAACAGCCGCTTTTCAGCAGTGTCTACAAATGTTCATACGATGCAAAGGTGATATCTAATTTGTGAGCGTCGTGGTACAACACAAAACTTTGACAAAAGTAATGACTCCCAAATTAGAGCTAAGTATAGCGGTCCGTATGTTCCTCACATACGAAAACATCTAATAAACTGAAATCGTCAGCTAACTATGCAAAAGTCGTTGTCGTGTTGTTTACCGTCGTTATCTGGACAGCAGTAGTTTAATAGTTTCATCAAAACAATGTCCTACATGCTAACAGGAAGTCCTCGGATTACTTTACGCATTAACCACTTCGAAAAACAGCGCACTCCTTGTCGCGAGCAGTTCAGCTTCTAATAGGTATTTTCAGCTTCTGAAGTTACCCCGTGGTCATCTTCCGTAAGGGGAACGTTTTGATGACGGGTTCTGATGTTTGAGCCACTTGATCCAACCAGGATAGGCGTCGGTCGTTAAGTTCTTCAGAAAGCTTCCTCAGCTAAGCGGTTGAGTATGTGATCGTTCGTTACTCGATGATACCATCGAAGGAAGTTGTAAAAGCAGCATTGCCGAAAACAAGTCAGTTGATTTCAGGATAGCAACTGCTACGAAGCCATACGAGAAAACGCTGCTTTCATCATGGTAACCTTTGTTTTTATCGATATTGAGCAGCTTACTCCATGCAATATCAAATCACGACTGAGAGGTCTATTTATGCCATGAAAGCAAATGCATCTAAGAAAAGTACATTCCAAATACGATTTCGGAAGTAAGGACTGGAGACCACCCGTCAAATTAGTCACAAAAAAAGCAGCCAGAAAAAACTGTTTGTTTCTCAGCATATTTCAAATCTACAAATGCACTTCCTGAAGTTGCTAATAAAATATAAAAGGTATCGGTTACAGGAACGTGGTTAATAGGAAGCAAAATACTACCGCGTCAGCATATTACTCGGAACAAAGAAGGCGAGGTTTCCAAACGACGATGCAAAATAAATTCCGATGGTGTACAATGCCACTTCACAGCGCCTTCCGCGGGACATGTTCCGTTTGTCTTATCATCAGTGTTTTGTTCTGTCCTATGATTACGGAAAGGAAACAACTGTAACCGTAAATCGAAGACCAGGAGTTTTAATTCACATCCTGTCGGCACATTAGAGAGAACCGAAGCACTGATTAATGTCTGTCATTCTGATAAGCTGTTGCCATAGATCACAGCTACCTGTGGTATTACGTCAGATTTCATTTTATATCACGCATTAAGCCGGCCATAACCAGTTCCTGGCAATAAAATATTGAAATTTTGGAAATCATAACAAAACAAGCTTACTGTGATATAAGTTGCTAAGTTGTGGGCAAATGGTCTCTTGCTCAAGGGCCAGCGCCGGACAATGCGTAGAAATGCCACCAGCGGTGCAAACACTGTCGCAAAGAAACTGTGCGGCGCCTTCTGGCACATGGCGGATTAAACTAACCAGGGACGAAAGTCACGGGCGCATAGTTGGTCATGAATCCAAACTCCATGGTCACGGAGTGAATATCACAACAGGTGTACAAAGAACAATCAAATACTGATCTCTCTACACGACCGTAAGCTGGCTGGAACATGATCAAATGCGTTTCTGATCAAAGGCAAGTAGACATACCGTGAATTCGTCTACAATGACCCCCCCCTCAACCGCAATGCCGCATAGAGTTGAATTTATTAGCATTTCAACAATACGGAAGGCAGCATTCTTCTTTAACTTAAAAACATGACTGCTTAACGAACTTCCCATCCATAGTGTGAGTTAATACTTGATC